TCTGTCCAACGGTTCAATAAACATTCACGGAACCCCCACTCAGTCCTAGGCACAGCTTCCTCATCTGGGTAATCAAAGGGTTTCCATAAGATGATCTTTATGGTCTCAATTTGTTACAAGTCTTTGACTAAAATAAATTAAATATAAACTAGAAGAAATAAAGATGCAACCTCATCATTTCTGAGTCTAGGGAACTGTTTAAGCTGTGTATCAGCTGGACATAGGAAAATAAATCATGATTTATGATCTAGCAGGAAAGAATGTTTCCCTGGGTGAGATCAAGAATTATCAGGATGACAGGACAATGTCTCTTTCATACCTTAATGAAAGGGTGTGGCGCCGAGTGCTGAACTATCAAATAGGACATCTCAACACCTATTAAACAGTGGGAACTTCTTGGAATCCACTGTCCACACAACTGAATTTACACAGGGTATTCTTTCCTTACCTACTTTCCCCTTCACTTTGAACACACAATTTAACCCAATTAGTTTCAAGACGTCAAGACAAAATTCCATAACAAGGAAGGTATAGAACCAGCACATAACAGAAAACTGGTGAGTCTAATAAGTGTTACACTGAAGTAGTCAGTCTCCAGATAAGGCTGATCCATGTACCTAGTGTTGCCTTTAGCTAATACTTTTGCCATTACAAGATGTTCTTATGAGAATGATAACCAAAAGAGCAGGGCTTTCTTCTTCTGTGTTTAACAGTAGCAATAGAAGAAGGACTTGGAAAAGGAAGAGAAGTCCAACCCAGTGAATAGATAGAAGAGAAACTTTCCTGATAAGGTTGATATGAAAGAAAGCTGGCATTTAAAAACAACATCCCATGTATATATTTAAATTCTTTAGGAATATGCTATTGAGCCCTTCTCTGCTCTCTTGTTGCAAGAAGCAAACTCTAGCTGTTCTTCTGGGCTTCATTTAGACTTGACTCTGACACCTATTATCATGTGCTATCGGGTCAATTTACTGTCTTTGGACTTCAATTTTCTCATCTAGGATGAAGGAGGTTGGACTCAGTCAGTGACCTTCAATTTGTTGCCGCTGCATTTTTAGCTTTGTTAAAATAAAACTTGTAAAATATGATACTTATTGAAGTCAACCACTAGGGTCTCTTTAAAGAGTCAATGAGATGATGAACACAAAGTTCTTCCACTTGGCACTTAGGAATGGCTGGACAACGTTAACGCCACTGAGTTCAGCTCGCTCTTCCCCCGTGCCCTCAGCATTATCATCCCACATCTTCTCTCCTGTTTTAGAGAAAGATTTTGAACTCCCTTCTGAAGTTCAGTGAGTCACGGTCTTTGTGGATTATTGGCCGGGGGAGAGACAGGAGCACATGTTGACTCTGGACATTTCTCATCAACTTTCCTGATCTCTGTGGAGTCGATCTGTGCTCAGTCCCTGCTGCCCCGTGAGCCTGTGAATTTGTCTCAGAATGGAAATTGCCCCAGTACCCGCCTTTGGACACCCAGTTAACACATACACAGTCTATTTCATTCTTTCTCTGTGTTTCATGAATGCAAAGCAATTGGAAGAAGCTGACTTTTACTGAAGATTCGGGCTAATGGAGGGAAATTACCACATATAATAGTGCAGCACAGGCAATAATTTAAATGGAATATTAACATTGTTTCAAAACCCATAGCCTTTTTCTTCCACTAGGAACTTCGCCTAGGCTCTGATCTCCAAGGCATCTTCCCAGAACTTTCCCTCACCACCTTAGCCTTCAACAACCCTCAAATTTTCAATATTTCTCATGAAGATCAGTTTTCCTTCTTTCTTTCTTTCTTTCTTTCTTTCTTTCTTTCTTTCTTTCTTTCTTTCTTTCTTTCTTTCTTTCTTTTCCTTCCTTCCTTCCTTCCTTCCTTCCTTCCTTCCTTCCTTCCTTCCTTCCTTCCTTCCTTTCTTCTTTCTTTCTTTCTTTTTCTCCCCTACCAGAGTGGGCTCTAATGTTCTACTAAACAAGGATCTACTACTTCGTGTGTCTACAGCACAGAACACAGGCAGAAGCTTTGCAATTATAGTTTCTTCTTCAACCTGGTCATGTATTTTAGGCTATGCTTCCATCCCTGGAGACAGGTGAGGGGAAAGAAGGAAGAATAAAGATACAATTTTCTCCCACTGTTTGGAGAGAGACACTAGGCATATGACTTTCTTTTTTTTAGCTTTCCAAAGTAAATATTATCATTGCAATTTTCATTATGACTGACATAGATCTGTAGACACCCAATATTTAAAACAGATTACTCTTATGCTGCTTTTCCAAAGTGAAGGTAGGCGAACACGTAGCTTCACATACTGATGGCTCCAGGCTATTCTTGTGGTGTCTCAGCATGACCCCCAGGGGCACTTTCAAACTATGTAGAAGGACTATTTAAAAAAAAAAGAAAAATCCAACTGACAATTTTGTGAAATGAAATGAAAGTGAATGACTAGGGATGCCTGGGTGGTTCCGTCATTACGCATCTGCTTTTGTCTCAGATCATGATCTCAGGGTCCTGGGATTGAGCCCTGCATCAGGCTCCCTGCTCAGCGGGAAGTCTGCTTCTCCCTCTCCCAGTTTGTGTTCCTTTCTCGCTGTGTCTCTTTTTGTCAAATAAATAAATAAAATCTTTAAGAAAAAAAAAAAAAGTAAATGACCAGAAAATAGCATTAAAATCAAAGACATAATTTGATCCCCAGTTTTTTATGAGCTGCAACAGATTCAAACTGACTGTCGGATTGTTGTAAAAGTTTCTAAATGCCTACTCTTAATTTCCACACTTCTCTCGATGCAAATCCCTTTAACTAAGGGTTCATGGTATCAACTGATTTCTAAATTAATACTCAGCTTAGAAACTGTAAAATTTTCCTATAAAATCTTAACATTATAGATCTAACATGTATGAATCACACCATGTTATAGGTATGGAACACACAAGCCCATTTTGAAGGAAAGCTTAGTTGTGAGACATCTTTCCATCCTACAAAGTTTTCCCTGATACGTCTCACACTCAGCAGGCTGTCCCCACAGTGAGTGATATGTGTGGTGGTTCTCCAGCTGCATGGATGCTAGAGGATCCTTAAGTCCTTATTAAAATGGTTTATTTTCCTGAGCATTTTGGGTTTGGTTCAATTTACTCTGGGTCCTGAGGCTAAGATCCTGTGATAATTTAGCATAGTTGGATTTGTTTTATAAAATTCATTTGTTTTTCCCTTTTTTGATTTCTGAAAAAAGTTGAGTAATTTTTAAAATTACACATAGTATTATTAAAAACAGACAGGAAAATGCTGAAGTTACTTGAGTGTGTAGTCTTCTCCCCCTGCCCCCAAATAACCTATTTGTAATAACTTAAAGCAAGAGGGTTCCCTGGATCTTTAGAGTTTTGGCATTGAATGGACTGTCCAGAGTTTTCTTTTTGATATAAGTGTTTATATTTGTTGGTGTTGGGAACAGGCTGGGAGGTATAGGGCAGTGTCTTGACATTTCTGTTCTTGAGTGGGCATTCAGTTCCACAATGAGTCTGTAGACACTTTCCTGGGCTACCATCTCTCCTTTCAAACTTGACTTCTTCCTGTTCTTCCATTTCCACTCCCAAACCTTCCACCAGGGGAAAAACTTGAAAGAAGGAAGACAGAGAACTGATTCAATTGAGTCTGAGTAGGAACCCCGACACACGTCAATTCTTTTTTTTTTTTTTTTTTCCTAATTCACCTCAGGTTCAATTCCACTGTCTAGCCTGTTTTGATCCTCAACCTGGATTTGGAGGCAGGTGGTCCTTCTTCTATAAACACTTTTTAGAGTTATGATGGTCACTAGAAAAAAAGAAGTATAAATCGGGCCAGTGGTTCCTAACAATTCTTGTTTTTTTAATATTCCCCAAGAGAGCTTTGGATGACACAGTTCAGGTACAAGAGCAATCCCACTTGTGTGAGGAATTTAGTTCCTGCAGTTAAGCTGCTCTACAGACTCGTAGGGAGCTAGGTGTTGTGTTAGGTACTGACAGTATAAATTTGGGTAAGACACACTTCCTTCCCTTGAGAAGCTCAGGGTCTCAGTCTGTTTGTTGGTTTTAGTAATGCAACGTTTTATTTATGCCTGCAGAACATGTATAAGCCCTAAAAAGCTAATCGAGTTTTTGTTGTTGTTCGTTGCTACTTTTGCTTCCTTTCACTAATACCTTAGAATGCCAGAAGTTAAAATCCTTTTACCCCTTGTAAGATACCTCTCTTATCTTCCAGACTGAGTGAGACATTCTTTGTATCTGTCCTCCTAGCATTGGGCTGTCACGAAGCAGAATGCCTACAGCACATCTTTGTCAACTCCCTCTTCCTCCAGTTTCATCACTGGATTCGGTGTTTTCTGAAGGCAGGACCTGTTTCTCAGCCACCACAGGGGCTTTAGAATCTATAACATTTCCTGGCACACAGGCTGTATACATGTTTATTGAATTGTTGGATGAATAAAGCAAGGAGAGGAAAAGCCTCCACTTACTTCTCCCTTAAATTGCTCATAGCTAAGCTACTATCAAAACAGGACATGTAGAAGTTTGGCTCGCTCTACATTCACTCAGCTCCTTGGATCTCCATGTTGGTTTGTTAATGTGAAGGACTAAAGAGCTCTCCGAGACCAGCATCTCACATAAGTCCCATTCAACATGGGGCTCCTGGCTATGAATATAGGATTACAGCGCTGCAGCTGAGCCAAAAATGGATAGAGCGGTAATAAAAGGCCCCCGAGTCCCCTCACTCTACCCCACTCCACACAAGAAGTTTCCTGTTGTAACTGAGACACAAGACATTTAGAATTATATCTATTGGCTGTACCGTATATTAGGGATATGACCTTGGGCAAATGGCGATCATTTTGAACTCACAGTTATCTCATCTGCGAAACGAGGTAACAATGGGTAAGGACCTCATAGTGCTGTTGTAAGTCATAAAAAGTGTTTATAAAGTGCTTAGAACACAGTTTTGAACATAACAAGGGCTCGATCAATGTTAGCCAGGCATGAAAGAAGATGTTGACATGTCTCTGAAAAAGGTCACTTTGTAATTACTAAATGTCAGAGGGGATGGTTTCTGAAATTTGTCCTTCATTTACACCTGTGTAATTGTTAGTAACTGGAGCACTGGGTGTTACATGCAAACAATGAATCCTGGAACACTACATCAAAAATTAATGATGTACTGTATGGTGACTAACATAATAAAAAAAAAAAGAAAGAAAAAAAAAGAAAAAATAAAATAATTGCAAATCTCTCATAGCCCAGCTGTAGATTCTCGAAAGGAAATAGAACTGCAAAGTTCCGTATGCTGCTAAGAGTGGCAAAGGGAAGGAGGAGTGTTTCTTCTTAGGGATCATGCTAACTTCAGTCATTATCTGGTGATCATATTTTAATCAACCACATGATTTCATTGAGAATAGAGGTGGCTTGAAGCTTCCTAATTGACCTTATTGCTGACAAGCAAGCGCTCTCTGATGTCCCCTACAGGCGATAGTCTAATTTCTGCTAGATCACCTCTGACGTGTATTTCCTTCTATTTCTTCCAGGATGTGTCAGCTCAATTCATTTTGGACGAAGCCAAGCAGCATGGCAAGAACTAAATAAGGTGTATTAGATTTGACGGATTCTATTTATCTTTAACATGAATTTTCTAAAATACTTCATTCTTTATTATCCAGTGAAAGGCTGAGACTTTCCTGGATTGATTTCATGCGATTTAACACGGTTATCATATTGAGAAATATTATATGCATCTAGACTCAAAAGCAGGTTAAAAATCATAATGGAGAAGTTACATGGGCAAAAACATAAAATACAAAATTACGAATGAACTGCTTATGTGTTTTCAAAAAAAAAGTTTTTTTTTTTTCCCCACTTGCTATAAAAACGTAAGCTTTTATGTTTGCAGTTACTGCATTTTGGGAAAGATAATTGCTGGTTATTTTGTCACATTTCCTGTTGAGTTCAAATGTGCTTTCAACTAATTTTTTTTTAAAGCAAAAGTCACTGATTTACCAAAACCGTAAAGCAATACTGGAAGAACCCACAGTACTAAACTGTCCTTAGAAACATCTTTCATAACAGAAGAGTTCAATTACTATAATTCTGGTGCTAATCTCAGGGTCCTTCTAGTAGTAACTATCTTCCAGAAGAAATCTTTGTAAAGGAGAAATACATTTTAAAAAAAAGTCTACTTCATGGGGCTTCACAACAAATGAAGCTGCCACTCATTCAATGAGTGGGCATATATGTTCTTATTTCTTATTTCTTTAAATTGGCTGAGTTTTCCCTGAGGCAGGTTTTACTGCAACCTCCTCTTTCTTCTACCCTCCACCTCTAAGAGCCAAGTAAGGAAATTTTTGGATGACTCTCGCTCTTTTAGTTGTTTGGACTGATAGACGCTAGACAGTTTCCTTTTTATTTGTTACAAAGGCCTACAATTTCATTTTTCCTTAAAGTATTATGTGCTGTTTTTTCCCCCAATTACATTGAAATATTATCCCTCTCCAATCTATGATATGATTAATAGGGTCCAGTTATTTGTTCTTTGTTTTTAGCTCTAGAAAATGCTCTGCTGTCTGTAATTGCCTCAGTGGGCCACAAGACTTACTGAAGATGAAGAAATGCCATCACCCAGGCTGCAAGCCACTCACAGCAAATGAAGATTCCCAGCTAGAATAGAGCATGAACACTTATGCCAATCTGAGGCCTTAGTTGTCTGTCTCTTCTCCTACAAACTGGAAATCATTTTAGCTACTCTATGTCTACTACTAAACTTGTGAATGGAGAGGTTGTCAGGAGGTCCAGGACTTATGTTTTCCCAAAGGATTTTTAATATTTGAAATTGTAATCATGGCTAGTCTGACTTCTAGGACATTAATGCCATATTGATAACCTATTTCATGTTGTCCTGGGATATGGAAGTCTGCAAGGAGAACTAAAAAAGCTCTCCCCTTTGAAGAGTGGTAGGACTATAGCAAGCCATATAATTTGTTTCTAAAATGGGTTCTGTGTTAGTTTCCTATTGCTGCTGTAACAAATTATTGCAAACTTAGTGGTTTAAAACAACACAAATATATTCTTACCATTCTATAGGTTAGAGGTCTGACACTGGTCTCCCTGGGCTAAAATCAAGGTTTAACAAGCTGCATTACTTTCTAGAGGCTCTTGAGGAGAATCCATTTTCCTGCCTTTTCCAGCTTCTACCCTTGTTCCTTACTCATGGCTTCCTTTCTTCATTTTAAAGGCCAGCAGTATCGGCTCTTGCTGCCCATCCTTCCATAGTCACATCTCCCTCTTGCCACAGCCAGGAAAGGTTCTCTGCTTTTAAGGACCCACGTGATTAGATTTGGTCTACTAGAAACCATGGATAATCTTCCATCTTAATTTCCTTGACTTAAACACATTGGCCAAGTTCTTTTTGCCATGTAAGGCAACACATTCACAGGATCCAGGGACTGAGATACAGACATCTTTGGGGAGCCATTATGTTGCCCATCACAGGTATTATTTTCAATACGGCAAAAGTTGACACAGTTGTGGTCTGTAATGGTAAATAAACTACTCTTTCCAGAGACTTTTCCCAAACTCTCAATTCCATAGTTTTCTTTTTGCTGAAATATAGAGGAATGGAACTGCATGTTAAAATTACTTAGATTCAAATTGAGGAATTTGGAATGAAAATAACTGTGATTGGTGTGTGTGTGTGTGTGTGTGTGTACGCATGTGCGTGTGTGTGTGTGTGTGTTTGTGCTTGTGTGTTTTCTGAGAGGCTATTTTAATCTTTTCTCACGCAAAATATCTTTCCCTGTGATTGTACCCTTCATCAAATGGGTACGATACAAATTATCATAAACTGGAGGGTGATATCTGATCTGCTTTTCTTCCAATTCCAAATACCCCGCCATGACAACCATAGCAGCCCCCTCGTCTTTAGCACAGAAGACCTAATGTTCTTCAGGTGTAAGTGTGTTCTAACAGTTCTATGTTAGAAATGGCACTTAGTTTGAGAAAAGAGAGTACCACACTCAGGGATGATGGCTGACTAAAGTCTTTATATGTGACCATTAGGCTAGGTTCTTCTCCATAAGAACATAGGACTTAGTGCTGCATTGTCTACACTCCCTCCATCTGCCTGCCATTCCCAAACAGAGACAGCTACCATGCACACCTGCAGAAGATAGAAAACTTGCCATTTCCAAAGATCAGCCACACTGACATCCAAGAATTATCAAGTCATCTACCTTTCTTTAGCTGCCATATGTCTCAACCTCCACACAGAACCTTATTTTTAAGCACTACTCACAACAAATTTAGATTGTTTTATTTCCCTCTGCCTTACAGATGAGGTGTCTGGAGTTCAGAGTAGCTGGATAAACCATGTAAAGTCTCACAGCTAAAAGCAATTAGAGTTTGCTGGTTTTCAAAAAAATAAAAATTACAAAACATGCTAAAAGACAAGAGAAAAACCACAACCTGAAGAGACAAAGAAATTATCAAATCAAACTCAGCAATGTAACAGTTTTTAGAATTATAAACAACTAACTTGAATAAGCATAGATAAATATGTTAAGGGCTCTTTTGGAAAAAAGAAACAACATGTACAGGAACAGATGGGTAGTGTAAGCAGAGAGATAGGCACTTTAAAAATAATCACAAGAAAATACTAGAAAGCAATAACACAGTAACAGATATGAAGAATGTCTTTGATGCGTTCATCAATATACTTACTTGCCTTGGCCATGGGGAATAAAGTCAGCTAGTTTGAAGATAGGTTGATAGACATTTTCTTTTTTCTTTTTTTTTTTAATTTTATTTTTTATAAACATATATTTTTTTCCCCAGGGGTACAGGTCTGTGAATCGCCAGGTTTACACACTTCACAGCACTCACCATAGCACATACCCTCCCCAATGTCCATAACCCCACCCCTCCCTCCCAACCCACTCCCCCCAGCAACCCTCAGTTTGTTTTGTGAGATTAAGAGTCACTTATGGTTTATCTCCCTCCCAATCCCATCTTGCTTCATTTAATCTTCTCCTACCCCCTTAACCCCCCATGTTGCATCTCCTCTCCCTCATATCAGGGAGATCTTATGATAGTTGTCTTTCTCCGATTGACTTATTTCGCTAAGCATGATACCCTCTAGTTCTATCCACGTCGTCGCAAATGGCAAGATTTCATTTCTTTTGATGGCTGCATAGTATTCCATTGTGTATATATACCACTTCTTCTTTATCCATTCGTCTGTTGATGGACATCTAGGTTCTTTCCATAGTTTGGCTATTGTAGACATTGCTGCTATAAACATTTGGGTGCACGTGCCCCTTCGGAACACTACGTTTGTATCTTTAGGGTAAATACCCAGCAGTGCAATTGCTGGGTCATAGGGTAGTGCTATTTTCAACATTTTGAGGAACCTCCATGCTGTTTTCCAGAGTGGTTGCACCAGCCTCCATTCCCACCAACAGTGTAGGAGGGTTCCCCTTTCTCCGCATCCTCGCCAGCATCTGTCATTTCCTGACTTGTTCATTTTAGCCATTCTGACTGGTGTGAGGTGATATCTCATTGTGGTTTTGATTTGTATTTCCCTGATGCCGAGTGACATGGAGCACTTTTTCATGTGTCTGTTGGCCATCTGGATGTCTTCTTTGCAGAAATGTCTGTTCATGTCTTCTGCCCATTTCTTGATTGGATTATTTGTTCTTTGGGTGTTGAGTTTGCTAAGTTCTTTATAGATTCTGGACACTAGCCCTTTATCTGATATGTCGTTTGCAAATATCTTCTCCCATTCTGTCAGTTGTCTTTTGGTTTTTTTAACTGTTTCCTTTGCTGTGCAAAAGCTTTTGATCTTGATAAAATCCCAATAGTTCATTTTTGCCCTTGCTTCCCTAGCCTTTGGCAATGTTCCTAGGAAGATGTTGCTGCGGCTGAGGTCGAAGAGGTTGCTGCCTGCGTTCTCCTCGAGGATTTTGATGGATTCCTTTCTCACATTGAGGTCCTTCATCCATTTTGAGTCTATTTTCGTGTGTGGTGTAAGGAAATGGTCCAATTTCATTTTTCTGCATGTTTCGCAACACCATTTATTGAAGAGGCTGTCTTTTTTCCATTGGACATTCTTTCCTGCTTTGTCGAAGATTAGTTGACCATAGAGTTGAGGGTCTATTTCTGGGCTCTCTATTCTGTTCCATTGATCTATGTGTCTGTTTTTGTGCCAGTACCATGCTGTCTTGATGATGACAGCTTTGTAATAGAGCTTGAAGTCTGGAATTGTGACGCCACCAACTTTGGCTTTCTTTTTCAATATTCCTTTGGCTATTCGAGGTCTTTTCTGGTTCCATATAAATTTTAGGATTATTTGTTCCATTTCTTTGAAAAAAAATGGATGGTACTTTGATAGGAATTGCATTAAATGTGTAGATTGCTTTAGGTAGCATAGACATTTTCACAATATTTATTCTTCCAATCCAGGAGCATGGAACATTTATCCATTTCTTTGTGTCTTCCTCAATTTCTTTCATGAGTACTTTATAGTTTTCTGTGTATAGATTCTTAGTCTCTTTGGTTAGGTTTATTCCTAGGTATCTTATAGTTTTGGGTGCAATTGTAAATGGGATTGACTCCTTAATTTCTCTTTCTTCTGTCTTGTTGTTGGTGTAGAGAAATGCACCTGATTTCTGTGCATTGATTTTATATCCTGACACTTTACTGAATTCCTGTACCAGTTCTAGCAGTTTTGGAGTGGAGTCTTTTGGGTTTTCCACATATAGTATCATATCATCTGCAAAGAGTGATAGTTTGACTTCTTCTTTGCTGATTTGGATGCCTTTAATTTCTTTTTGTTGTCTGATTGCTGAGGCTAGGACTTCTAGTACTATGTTGAATAGCAGTGGTGATAACGGACATCCCTGCCGTGTTCCTGACCTTAGCGGAAAAGCTTTCAGTTTTTCTCCATTGAGAATGATATTTGCGGTGGGTTTTTCATAGATGGCTTTGATAATATTGAGGTATGTGCCCTCTATCCCTACACTTTGAAGAGTTTTGTTCAGGAAGGAATGCTGTACTTTGTCAAATGCTTTTTCAGCATCTATGGAGAGTATCATATGGTTCTTGTTCTTTCTTTTATTAATGTGTTGTATCACATTGATTGATTTGCGGATGTTGAACCAACCTTGCAGCCCTGGAATAAATCCCACTTGGTTGTGGTGAATAATCCTTTTAATGTACTGTTGAATCCTATTGGCTAGTATTTTGGTGAGAATTTTTGCATCTGTGTTCCTCAAGGATATTGGTCTGTAGTTGTCTTTTTTGATGGGATCCTTGTCCGGTTTTGGGATCAAGGTGATTCTGGCCTCATAAAATGAGTTTGGAAGTTTTCCTTCCATTTCTATTTTTTGGAACAGTCTCAGGAGAATAGGAATTAGTTCTTCTTTAAATGTTTGGTAGAATTCCCCCGGGAAGCCATCTGGCCCTGGGCTTTTGTTTGTTTGGAGATTTTTGATGACTGTTTCAATCTCTTTACTGGTTATGGGTCTGTTCAGGCTTTCTATTTCTTCCTGGTTCAGTTGTGGTAGTTTATATGTCTCTAGGAATGCATCCATTTCTTCCAGATTGTCAAATTTGTTGGCATAGAGTTGCTCATAATATGTTCTTACGATTGTCTGTATTTCTTTGGTGTTAGTTGTGATCTCTCCTCTTTCATTCATGATTTTATTTATTTGGGTCCTTTCTCTTTTCTTTTTGATAAGTCTGGCCAGGGGCTTATCAATCTTATTAATTCTTTCAAAGAACCAGCTCCTAGTTTCGTTGATTTGTTCTATTGTTTTTTTTTCTTTTTGTTTCTATTTCATTGATTTCTGCTCTGATCTTTATGATTTCTCTTCTCCTGCTGGGTTTAGGGTTTCTTTCTTGTTCTTTCTCCAGCTCCTTTAGGTGTAGGGTTAGGTTGTGTACCTGAGACCTTTCTTGTTTCTTGAGAAAGGCTTGTACCGCTATATATTTTCCTCTCAGGACTGCCTTTGTTGTGTCCCACAGATTTTGAACTGTTGTATTTTCATTATC